TTTCTTCTTTTTTTTGAGATAGGGTTTCTCTGTCTAGCCCTGGCTGTCCTGGAACTCTTTGTGTAGACCAGGCTGGTCTTGAACTCACAGAGATACACCTGTCTCTGCCTCCCAAGTGCTGGGACTAAAGGTGTTTGTGATTATGTCTAATAAAAAATACAAGTCTTAATTTCAATTTCTTACATTGTTTGTGAATGATAAATTTTTAGTAGTAACTCAAGTTTACAAAGTTGTTTTGTTTTTTTGTTGTTGTTTTTTTGTTTGTTTGTTTGTTTGGTTTGGTTTTTTCAAGACAGGGTTTCTCTGTGGCTTTGGAGGCTGTCCTGGAACTAGCTCTTTTAGACCAGGCTGGTCTCGAACTCACAGAGATCCACCTGCCTCTACCTCCCGAGTGCTGAGATTAAAGGCGTGCGCCACCACCGCAGCTACAAAGTTGTTTTTTTGTTTGTTTTGTTTTTTCGAGACAGGGTTTCTCTGTAGTTTTGGAGGCTGTCCTGGAACTTACTCTGTAGACCAGGCTGGCCTCGAACTCACAGAGATCTACCTGCCACTGACCTCTGTAGTTGAGACTGTCTCAGAAGGGAAGGGGAGAAGAGATAATAAACACAAAAAGCAGAAATAGAATTCTAAAACAAGTCTAAGAGGAACACTACATAATGCCTTTGCCATTGTGCTGTTTTTGTTTTTCCTTTTTTGAGTAACCCTTTATATCTTTTTGTAATGCTTATGGATGTTTTGCCCTTATTTACATTTGTATACCACTTGCATGCCTGGTGCCTAAAGAGGAAGACCAAAGAGTGTTAGAGTTCCTGGAACTAAAATTACTGATAGTTGAGAGCCAGCTTGTGGGTGCTGGGAATTGAAACCAGATCATCTGAAAGAGAAGCCAGTACTCTCTGTTGAACCATCTCACCAGACCAATTTTTTTGTTTGATTGGTTAGCTGGTTGTTTGACTGTTTTTTAAGGGGGGGGGTGTGAGGCAGAGACAGGTGGATCTCTTGAGTTCTGGGCTAGCCTGGTCTACAGCCAGGGCTACACAGAGAAACTGTCTCTAAAAACAAAGACAGGTTTCATTTAGCCAGGCTGGCCTTGAATTTACCATGTAGTAGAAACAGCTTTAAATCTACTATGTAGCAGGTGATGCCTTTGAATTGCTGGTCCTCCTTGAGTATTGTGATTGCAGGTATACAGTACCATACCAAAGTTGTGGTCGTTGTTGTTTTTAATACCAATCCCTTTGTATAACAGTTTTGTTGATACTTCAGTCATGGTTGTTGCTCTTAGTTTTTCCTTCATATTTTATGCTTTCTAACTCTACTTCTACCTTTACTACATTTCCATAGTCATTTTTGTCTTTTCCTGATACTCTTTAGGGCTCTCTGTAGTTCTGACTGTCCTGGAACTGTATAGATCAGGCTACCTCTTGCATTTTTTTTTTTTTTTTAACTTTATTTTATGTGTGTTGGTGTGGAAGTGTCAAATCCTCTGGAACTGGAGTTAACAGACAGTTCTGAGCTGCCATGTGGGTGCTGGGAATTGAACCTGGGTCCTCTGGAAGAGCAGTAAGTTCTCTTAACTACTGAGCCATCTCTCCAGTCTTAGCATTGTTTTTTTGTTTGTTTGCTTGTTTGTTTTTGTTTTTCAAAACAGGGTTTCTCAGTAGGTTTGGAGGACTGTCCTGGAACTCTCTTTGAAGACCAGGTGAGCTTCGAACTCACAGAGATCTGCCTGCCTCTCTCTGCCTCCTGAGTGCTGGATTAAAGGCATGTGCCACCAATGCCTGGCTTGTTCTTCAGATGCTGTTTCAGTACCCCTACCTTGTAATGTTGTAGCAGACTTTATGGAATATTCCACTAAGGATAAAGGTGTTTCCATATCTGTTATTGAAAAAAAAATTACTTAATTCACTTGTCTCTAATTTCTACTAAAAAAAGAAAAATAACAAGTTCTGGGAAGCTTTTTCCACATCAGCCTCTTTGCTATGTTCTCATTTCTTGTCATTATTTATGTAGCACTTTATAGCCTGCCTCATTTTCTATAACTCTCATTTCTATATAGATACCTAGAGTGTCACCACCATTTTAAGAAAACTAAACATGTACTGGATTATATAATAGCATCTGCATACTGTGACTAAAATATGTGATAGAAGGAGAAGACCTTTATTTTGTTTCATGGTCTCTAGAAGTGTCCGTCCATTGGGGCGGTAAATACATATTGGTAGTAGACTCCATATTTTGTCAGCTAGGAAGTAGAGAAACAACATATAGGAAGGGGCCTAACTTCCTACAAGTAGGCCCTACCTCCTATTTTTCAGCATCTCATCAAAATGTCTTCATACTTGTGAATCTGCTTATTAGGTTCCAGTCCTCGTTAGCTACTCTGGAAATGTCATCCTATCCACATCTTAGAAGTGTGTTTTTCTAATCTTAGGATTCTTAACCATCATTCATTATAGCCTTTTATTACTGAGCTTTGTTGCTCTATGTAATTTAGTTCTCTGTAAAAATAAATACCTTGTCCTTATCTACCATCTTTTCTCTTTAGTCCTCTGTAATCCTGGTTCTTTGTCACCACAGAAACTGCAACAAATGTTGGTTATCTTTTGCTGTTAAAATATATTAGAAAAAACTGTTGGTGTTTGCCTAATTTTTCTGTTAGCAGTTTTTTGTTGCTGTTGTTATTTTTTCCAAAATAGGGTTTCTCTGTGTAGCTCTGGCTGTCCTGGAACTCTTAAGATTAGGCTAGCCTCCTAAATACTGGGATTAAAGGTGTGTGCCACTACCTTCTGGCTTGCTTCCTTTTCTTATTGTAACGCTTCTAACTCTTATATGAAAATTGCATATTAAAAAAGTAAATTATATTAGGCTGGAGAGATGATTCAGTGGTTAAGAGCACTGACTGCTCTATCAGGATCCTGATTCAATTCCCACCACCTACATGGCAGCTCATAACTTTTTGTAACTCCAGTTCCAGGGACTCTGACACCTTTATACCAGTGCACATAAAATAATTTAGATGAAAAGAAAAGAAAAGAAAATACACATTTACAGAAAATTTGTAATTCTGTGTTTCACTCTTGATTGTAGAATAAAGTAATGGCTCCACATCATCTGTGAGGATGCATGGATTTCCATTTCTGTAATATATTTGACGGGCTGGGGAGGTAACTCAGAGGTAGTGTACCTGTGTAACATTGGATGTCCTAGCACCATGGGAAAAATATTAAATACTTTAGCATTGATTCAGATTCCATTGTCAAATACGTATTTTTTAAAATTGCATGATAGGAAGGAAGCCTTCCCATTTATGGCAAAGAGAATAAAGCACTGTGGTTATGGGACATCATTTGGTAGTCTGCTGTTTTTTTACTTTATTCCTTTGGTGTTTTGTATTTTTGTCAGTTTGTGAGCAGAGTTGGTTGTAGTTGTTTGATTTTTTGTTTCTGAGATAAGGTCTCACCATATAGCTTAGGTTGTCCTTGGTCTGGATAGTTAACATCTTTGTTGTGAAGAGATTACAGAATCTGTGTTAACCTCTCTTTTCTACATTTATTACAAAATATTAAAGTGATAAATTTTTGTTTTATTTAGCTTGTCTGCTCATTTGCAACTTACATTTACCGGTTTCTTCCACAAAAATGGTAAGTATTGTAATGGAATAGTGGTTCATTCTGAATTCTTTGTGTTCATTTTTCTTGTGTGTTTTGTTTTTTGCTAATTTTCATTTGTTTGAGATTTCTTTATTTTTTTGTGTGTACTGGGTATTAAACTCTGTCCCTCTGTTACCTCTGATGGTGCATTTCAATGTTGAGCTTAAAATGTAATGATTAAAAAATTTTAAATAGTTACCTCAGAAGTTCAAGAGGCCAAGCATCTTGGTATGACCCATTTACATTAATGTGCTGAGTTGGTGCTGTCATTGGTTGTTGGTTTGGTTTTGATGTTTCAAATAGAACAGTAAACAGTTGAAATAACCACTACTACTGATGAAATATTATCAGAATGTCAGTACCAAGAAAATATATAGTATTTTGTGTTCATTTCAGTGAACGCTAAAATCATGTTGGGAAACTTGGGTTGTTTTAAAAATGGTGAAGGGCCAAGAGTGGTAAAGGCCAGGCATGGTGGTACATGCATGTAGGAGGCAGAGGCAGAGACATCTCTGAGTTTAAAGCCAACCTGGTTTATATAGTGAGTTCCAGGCCAGCCACGGCTACAGTTAGCAAGACCCTGACCCACCCACCCCCAAAAAAAAAATGAATACGGAATCATTGAGATAGCTTAGCAGATAAATGTGTGACCAAACTTAATGACCTGAGTTTGATCTCCAGAACTCTACTACATAGTAGAGAACAGGCTCCCATAAGTTGTCCTCTATTTCTTTATTCACACATGCCTATACCCAAACACACACATTCAAAATAATTATGGATTGTGAAGAGAATAGACAATGCCTGTCAGATTGTCCATCTTTTTTATTAATTTTATTCAGTGGAATAAAATTTTTACCAGAAAAAAAGCTTAAGTTTTTCTTGGATTAGTTCAGTAAGGAACAACGTTTAAGGGTTTGAATACTAGAGAGTAAGTAGTGTTGTGATTGCTTAGTATAGGCAAGGTCCTGCATTCTGTCTGCAGCCCTGCAACAACAGACAGGTGAGGTTGATAATAAAATAGTGTGGTAACCTCTTGGTAAGTGATTCATGATTTTTATATTAGAAACTTAAAATCTGATCGTATGTATGTTATCTACTAATAGTTTTAAGTGTTGCTTTAAGATCTGACCTGTTTTGTATTTGGAGGTAACCCAAAATAACAATTTCTATTTTTTCTCCTAAATAGTTTATAATCTAAATTTTTTTTTGTTTTTGTTTTTTTGGGTTTTTTTGTTTGTTTGCTTGTTTTTGGTTTTTCAAGACAGTGTTTCTCTGTGTAACTTTTGAGCCTATCCTGGCACTCTCTCCGGAGACCAGGCTGGCCTCGAATTCACAGAGATCCACCTGCCTCTACCTCCCAAGTGCTGGGAATAAAGGTGTGTGCCACCAATGCCCGGCTATAATTTAACTTTTATGCATTCATTAGGTCTGTTTCCAGGGACTTGTTTAAAATATACATATATTGATACTAAAATGGTATCTTTGGGAACCATGTGATAAATTTTTTTCTTGTCATATACAGTGGCAAGAAGCTTTGGTTCCCAACACTCAGGAGGCGGAGGCAGGTGGATCTCTTTAAGAATTCCAGGCCAGCCAAAAAGCTACATAAGACCCTGGTTTCAAAAAACAAAACCCCACAAAATGTGAAGTAAAATCTTATTGATCTCATTTACTGGTTTGGTGACTTTGCACAAACTTTTTCTTTGGCCAAATAACAAAACAAAACAAACCATTCCCGTCAGGCTGGTGATGGTGCACGCCTTTAATCTCAGCACTTGGCAGGCAGAGGCAGGCGGATCTCTGAGTTCAAGGCCCGCCTGGTCTTCAGAGAGAGTTCCAGGACAGTCTCCAAACCTACAGAGAAACGCTGTCTCAAAAAACAAGCAAAATAGACCCTGTCTCAGAGTAAAATAAAATTAATGGAAGTTTGAGGGAATTAAGATTTGTTTTGGAAAAAAAAAAAAAACACTTAAATCAGAATTGAGAGACTAGCTTCCAGGTTCCTAACAAAACTGAGTGTGGTAGCATGTGCCTGTGTGTGTAACTCTAGCACCTGAGATTCCTAGGCCAGAGGATCGGTAATGGGACAAGATCCGGGTCAGTTTGCTTGTTTCAGACAAACAAAATGCCCAAAATAGCAGAAATGACTTGAGAGATCTGAGAATAAATTTATATACATTGTTAAGGCTTCAGATTTACGGTAAACATTATTTTGACAATCTTTCTGTTTTGGACACTGGTTGGTTTTTGTTGTCTTAAAGTATTTTCCTTGGGGGCTGGAGAGATGGCTCAGAGGTTAAGAGCACTGACTGCTCTTCCAGAGGACCTGAGTTCAATTCCCAGCAACCACATGGTGGCTCACAACCATCTATAATGAGATATCATGCCTTCTTCTGGTGTGCAAGCATGCATACAGATAACTGTATACATAATAAATAAATAAATAAATAAATAAATAAATAAAATCTTTTTTTTGTTTTAAGAAAAAGTATTTTCCTTGTGGCTGGGCGGTGGTGGTGCATGCCTTTAGTCCCAGCACTCAATAGGCAGAGGCAAGGGGATCTCTGTGAGTTCAAGGCCAGGTTGGTCTACAAAGTGAGTTCCAGGACAGACTCCAAAGCTACACTGAGAAACCCTTCTTGACAAACCAAAGAAAAAAAAAATTTCATTGTGATTATAATTTGCCTGATTCAGCCATCTTCTCAGTATACACTGCATAAAAAGATTGACTTGCATTTGTTTTGTTTTAGTGCTTTCTGTTAACTGCTTTTATTTGGATTGGTGCTAGATATCACATACCTTTCTGCGTGCTAGGGAAGCAGTCTAGTAGCTCTGAGCAATGTCCACAGCTTAAGAAGATTGATTTTATGTAGGAAAGAAAGTTACCTAATAATCTAAGAAGGGAAAAGGTTGTTTGCAATATATATTTGGTATATTAATGATCTAGTAATAGTTCTATATATTTATTGAAGTTTAGTATTTAAATATTTAGGTTTGCACTATTAACTTCAGAATTTTAAAGATCAGTACTTTAGAGCCTTGGCTAGGAAAATTTTTTGTTACTTAATCAAAGTATAGACTGATACTCAAACTACAACTTCTTAAGTTTTGTGAGCCAAAGCATTGCTAAGTAGTAAATAGTAGCTTCAGTTTTGCTATTGCCATTTAGACATTTTCTTTTCTCTCTCTCTCTCGTTTGTCTTTTTGATACAAGGTCTTGTTATGTAGACCAGACTGGCCTCATATTCATAGATATCCACCTGCCTCTACCTTTCAAATGCTGGAAATAGAGATGTGTACCACCACATCCCACTAAAGTAATTCTTTAGTAATAGATTTTGGGGAGAAGGAGAAAGCATTGAACTTTTTTTGTTATAATCCTCTGGAACTATTTTACTCAAGCTTCCTGCCAAGAAGCTTTGCCTACATTTGTCACTTTTGACAAATAGTTTTCTGTATTATCATAAATGTTAAATTTTCAAATGAGAAGTAAATAGATGAAGTATAAGTTAAAACTGAGCCATCCTACTCAAAAGAGAAAAATCTTAATCTTTAGGCAGATACATATATTTGTCTTATGAAAGTTTTATTTATTTTTAAAAAGAGTACTGCAAGTCTGGAACTGAACTGGGAAGAAACAAGAAAAATAAAGCTTGTGATATGTTTTCATTATAGGAAGTCTTTTGAGATTACTTAATTTAGGAAAATATTTTTCATTCTTTTTTTTCTCATGTATATATTAAAAAGATTTTTAAGACATTGGTTTTTCTATTTAGATAAGCCATCACAAAACTCAGAAAATGAACAAAATTCTGTTACCCTGGAAGTCCTGCTTGTGAAAGTTTGCCACAAAAAAAGAAAGGTAATGTATAAAATACTAGTAGATGAAGTAGTATAATCTTTAATTGAACGTGTTTCTGTATATCTACTATAATTATGAGCCAATTTTAAAACCTCAGAAATGAGGACTGTGTTGAGGCTGGGCATGGTAACACACTCGCCTTTAGTCCAAGCAGTTAAGCAGCAAGGGCAAACCAGGTGTTCGCAGTGAGTTCCAGGCCTGCCAGAGCTACATAGTGGGATGGTGTTTTCAGAGTGGAAAAGGGAGACAACTACATAATGGCTGAATTACTATCACCTGTTGCCACCCTTCCTAATTTTCCCCCTGATCTGAGCATCTGGACAAAACATTGTGCAGAAGTCACAGGAAGAAGATATGGTCTTAGTGCAGATTCTGCTGCTTCTACTGTTTAGTCTCATAGGTTGTTCCTTAGCTATTAGTACATTAATATGGATGTAGTCTTTACAGTTTTAAATAAGGGTATAAGTACATCCCTTCAGATTGTATTTAGAAGATTAAATCATTTCATCATAGAAACAACTGTCAAAATGGCAACATTTATTTCCTGAGCAACCCACCAAAACCAGCACTATGTAATTCTAGTAGCCTTAAGTCCTTGAGTCTCTCTTTTATTAAAGGCAACAAAATTAATAATGGCTACAGAATAGGAATAGGTGTTTCTTTCCAAAGAGAATAAATGTATCTCTAGTAGGCACAAGAAAGGGTGAAAGAGGGTTTTTTGTTACTATTTTTAGCTAGAGTATCATTACACCTTAAGCAAGAATTGAAATATATAGATCTCCTAGTGGTGATGCTTTTGCATATGGTTTTAAAGTGATGAAGGACTTTTAAAGCTGCCAGAGTCATAATAGGAAGCAGACTAGATGATAGGAGGCACTTATGTAACGTATTAAAAAAGTATATATAGGGGGCTGGAGATGGCTCAGAGGTTAAGAGCACTGGCTGTTCTTCCAGAGGTCCTGAGTTTAATTGCCAGCAACCACATAATGGCTCACAACAATATGTAATGAGATGTGGTGCCCTCTCTGGCCTGCAGGTGTGCATATAGACAGAACACTGTATACATAATAAATAAATAAATAAATAAATAAATAAATAAACCTTTTTTAAAAAAGTATTTGTAAAGTTAGGATCTATACTACTAATTACTCACACTCAACCTTCATAAAATTTATGATAAGCAGTAAAGTGAAATTTTAAAATTTTGAGGAAAAACTGTTTCATGTTTCAGGAAAAAATACTAATTGTAAATACCTTCAAAGGACATATATACCTGTTTATTTTAGTCATTTGAGAAAAGACTTAGGGTATAGGTGAGGTTTAGATTTCTCATGTAGAGTGCTTTCTTTTAGTCTGTTGTAAGTACATGTTTATTATTATTCTTTATGGTTATTTTGCGTGCGTGCATATCTGCACCATGTGCATGCCTGATGCTAGAAGAGGCATCCCTAGAACTTGTGAGTACCATGTGGGTGCTGTGAATTAAACCTGGGTCTTCTGGAAGCTAACCAGTGTTCTTTTCTGCTGATCCATCTCCAATCCATTTTGTTTTTCCCCGTTTTATTTACGAATTTACTAAGTTGGTTGTGGAGGAGCATCAGAGCTTTGAGGCCAACTACATGGGCTATCCTGTCTCAATAGTTACTGCATGAGATGCAAAGTTTTTTTCGACTATGTTCTCAGATAATTAGTTATGGAGTGACTATTTCTCAGATGATTGGTGACACTTTTATTAAAGAATATAGAAAACAGATACAGGTTTACTGTTTTGTAGCAATGTAGTTTATAAGTATCTTTTTCTGATGGTCCCATTTGTTATGTCAAAATAGAAGATTTAAAGGAAATGTTGAAGTGAAGGTTGTTTAATATTTTAATCATGCTACTAATTTCGTTCTTGTTTTTGTTTTGAGACAGGGTTTCTCTATGTAGCTTTGACTGTCCCAGAACTCAGTATGTAGACCAGGCTGCCCTCCAGTTCACAGAGATCCACATGACTCTGCCTCCTGAGTCCTGGGATCAAAAGCATGCCTCACCACTGCCCTGCTTTAGTGTTTTGTTTTTGTTTTGTTTTGTTTTGTTTTCAAGACAAAGGGTTTCTCTGTGAAATAGGCCTGGGTGTTCAGGAACCTAATTTTGTAGGCCAGGCTGGCCTTGTACAGACAGATCCTCTGTCTACTGAGCGCTGGGAAACCAGGGACTTGTGCATACCGGATTACTGACTTTATCACCAGCACTTTGATTCTATTTTTCTTTTTTTTTCCTTGTATTTCCAGTTGTTTTGTTTATATTTTAGGTTATTTATTTGTCTATTTATTTTGAGGAAGCGTCTTAAAGTAGTCTGTGCTGCTCCAACCCGCTATGTAGTCCAAGATGAGCTTAAACTTGTGATCCTCTACTTGTACCACCATGTCTGTTCATGCAGTGCTTGGGATTGAACACAACACTCATGGTTTTGTACACATAAGGGAAATTCTCTATTGCCTGCACTACATCTCTAGTCTTTTGTCTTATTTACTCTATATTTTTTCCCTATTGCTTGTAGTTGAACCCAAAGCCTGTACATAGTAGACAAGTACTTTAACTGTTGTTCTGTACTTCCAGGACCCATATCTCCATTCTAGCCCATATATACCACATTTGTAATATACATCTTGCAAATAACTATCAACTAGACTGGATATACTTCTCTCTCTCTCTTCATTATATTGTAATAATCTTCCATTGCTTTGATATTAGGAATCTAATTATTGCATTTTTATTTTTGCTTCACAGTTTTCAGCAGTATGATTATTTTAAAATGCCATTTGGTAATTATGACTTATACCATGTTTCCTATAAGTGAATAAAAGTTTTAGTGTAATTTATCATTGCTTTTGTATAAATGTAACTTATGAATCTTTACTTTGCAGGATGTAAGTTGTCCAATCAGGCAAGTTCCTACTGGTAAAAAGCAGGTGCCTTTGAATCCTGACCTCAATCAAACAAAACCAGGAAATTTCCCATCCTTGGCAGTTTCCAGTAATGAATTTGAACCTAGTAACAGTCATATGGTGAAGTCTTACTCATTGCTGTTTAGAGTAACACGTCCAGGAAGAAGAGAATTTAATGGAATGATTAATGGAGAAACCAATGAAAATATCGGTAATTTTATTTCAGTAATTTCACTAGATTTTATTGTTTGATATTAAAAAGTAGTAAAAATATTTGAATTAATATTTCATTATTATATTTAGAATTGTGGAGCCAGGCAGTGGTGGCACATGCCTTTAATCCCAGCACTTGGGACACAGAGGCAGTAGAATCTCTTGAGTTCAAGGCCAGCCTGATCTACAAAGCGAGTTCCAGGACAGGCTCTAAAATTACTCAAACCCTGAAAACTCTGGACTTGTACAACTTGTATCAGTTTCTCTATGTTTGACTGCAATCTAGGATCTTCCTCATGCTGGGTGTCTTGTTCTCTGCTTAGGTTAAACCTGAGCTTTCCCTTTTTATCTTACTGTTTGTCCACCTGTTTTTAAGCTTCCCTTCCTTCCTTCCCTCCCTGCCTCTTGTTCCCTTTCCCTGTCTTTCTTCTCTTGTTACTTTCTTGCTTGTTTCCTTTCTCTCTTGATAAATGGTTTCACCATTACCTAGGGTAGTCTTCAAAATGAACACTTAATCCTTCTAACTCAGCTTTCATAGTGCTGGGACTATATAGGTGCATGTCATTGTACTATCTTGAACATGAGCCATATATATAATACACACATATCACATTGATCCCTGTACCCATTCTTCTGAATTCATCTTTGAGGTGGTCATTCAATTGATGTATAGATGTCTACGATACAAAGATAATTATACATGCAGTACTTTTCTCAGAAGGCTTACAATCTAGTTTAGGGTGAGAGATCTGGAATAAATATTTGCTTTGAAATGAACAGTGGTATAACAAAGATATATGAAAAGTACTGTTTAAAAGTTGTTGTAAGAGAGCCAGGCGGTGGTGGCACACGCCTTTAATCCCAGCACTCAGGAGGCAGAGGCAGGCCTGGTCTATAGAACGAGTGCCAGGACAACCTCCTAAGCAATACAAAGAAACCCTGTCTTGAAAAACAAAAACAACAAAAAAGTTGTTGTAAGAAGCTGGAGGGATAGCTCAGTGTATACACTCCTGGAAGAGACTTGTTGCTCTTCCAGAGGATCCATGTTAGGTTCCCATCAAGCACATGGCAGTTAACTGCTATCTATAACTCCAGTTCTAAAGGCTCTAACACCCTCTTCTGGCCTCCATGGGTACTGTATGCACATGGTGCGCAAACATAAATGTAACCAAGACCACTAATAAAATAAAAATAAATCTCTCTTTATGAATTCTTTTTTTTTTTTCCAATAAGATTTGTTTATTTTTACAGTGTTCTGCCTGCATGTACGCCTGCAGGCCAGAAGAGTGCACTATACGAATATAGGCCATTACGAATGGTTGTGAGCCACCATGTGGTTGCTGGGAATTGAACTCAGGACTTGTGGAAGAGCAGCCAATGCTCTTACTGCTGAGCCATCTCTCCAGCAAACCTCCCCACCCCCACCCCCTTGTTTTTTTTGAGACAGGTTTTTTCTGTGTAACAGCTCTGGCTGTTTTGGAACTCATTTGTAGAACAGGCTGGCCTTGAACTCAGAGATCTGACCTGCCTCTGCTTCCCAAGTGCTGGGATCAAAGGCTTATACCACCCAGCAGCTTAAATTCTTATAGTGGAACTCTGAGTAGTAATGAGGAGCCTGCCCAGCATGAGTCATTCCAAACACGTATTATTTGCAAAGATGAGTTCTGATGTCATTGTTGTCAGGAGGTAAGGGCAGACACAGCTGAGTTGTATAGGCCTATGTTCCCAGTACCCAGTAGATCAGCCAAGGACAGCCATTTCTAGACCAGCCTGTGCTATATTACGAGATCATGTTGTAGAAAAATAAAGATGGACACAGTACAAGTTAAAAATTGAAAGTTGAAACAAATGAGTGTGAATGTTGATACATTGTAATTTGTACTTCATTTGGATAAATGAGCACATTTTACCTTACAACATTAAAAGTGACGAATATAGATGACATTTCTTTTTAAGTAATTGTTTTACAAAAAAAAAATTTATTCAATTCAGATGTCAGTGAAGAAGTTCCAGCCAGAAGAAAACGAAATCGTGAAGATGGGGAAAAGACATTTGTTGCACAAATGACAGTGTTTGACAAAAACAGGTAACATTGATGGTCAAATAAGGCTTCCATACTGTTCTGCAAATGTTTTCATTCTGAAGCAGAGTAATGGTAATGTTGCTTGTGTTTGTTTTCTTCTAATAAATAGAAAAATAAGTTTGCAAATACTGAATTTTTCTCTTACATAGAGAGCAGTAAGCAGAGATAAGGAACTCTGAGTGACTTAGTTAAAATTGTTTATTCAAGAAGTATTTTCAGGGGCTGGAGAAATAGCTCAGAGGCTAAGAGCAGTGGCTGCTCTTCCAGAGGTCCTGAGTTCAATTCCCAGTAACCACATGGTGGCTCACAACCATCTATAATGAGATCTAGTACCCTCTTCTGGCCTGCAGGCATACATGTAGGCAGAACACTGTATACATAGCAAATAAAATAAAAATCTTAAAAAAAAAAAAAAAAGTATTTTCTTGCCAGGTATTGGTGGCGCATGCCTTTAATCCCAGCACTCGGGAGACAGGGGCGGGCGGATCTCTCTGAGTTCGAGGCCAGCCTGGTCTCCAGAACGAGTGCCAGGATAGGCTCCAAAGCTACACAGAGAAACCCTGTCTCAGGGAAAAAAAAAATAAGTATTTGTGACTGCTTTTTGACAAATACTTCCAGTCAGGAGGCACAAAATTTCTGTGTGCAGCCTAACTTCTAATGTAGGCTATAGAGAACTCTCCAAAAATATCAAGTACTGTGAAGAAACATTAGAGAATAAGTGGCTGTTGTTTATAGAAGAGGTAATGTTTGAAATAAAGGCATAAATGAAATGGGTTCTAGAAAAATCTTATGATAGCAACTAAAGCTAAGAAAGTCAGTTATCTATAATTCTGTGTGACTATATGTACATTTGGCACAGGGTATTGAGTAAAAGAAGATGTAGGAAATAAATACAGCATTCTTTTTACATATAGTTGGAGAATGGTACCAGAGGTTTCATGATTTCTCACATTATTGTGAGAAATCAGTTCCAGCTGATTGCTAGAACTTAGCAATGAAACTCAAGATAGTGTGGTTATTTTTTTATTTTTTAAATTATATTTATCGATTTATTTATTTGATTTTCGAGACAGGGTTTCTCTGTGTAACAGCCCCACCTTGTCCTGGAACACTCTCTGTGGACCAGGCTGACCTTGAACTCACAGAGGTCTTGTCTGCCTTTGCATCCCAAGTGCTGAGATTAAAGGTGTGTGCATCCAGCGTCCTAAGATAGTATGTTTTTAAAGTCAGATTTGATTGTAGATCAAAGTGTTAGTTGAAAACAACTAGAGGGATGAATGTAGCTCAGCTATAGAGTGCTAACTTTGAATGCACATGACCTGGGGTTTGATCCCCTAAACACAGATGTAAAACAGTGGAAGGCACTGGTGAATCTAGTGGTGAAACAGTATGACATACCTGCACTGGGCCTCATTCTTTGTACCTTACATACAAGCTAATACATTCTTTATGTGAAATAAAATTCTGGGCCAAGAGGTGGTGGTGCACACCCTTAATTCGAGCACTTGGAAGGCAGAGGCAGGCATATTTCTGGGAGTTCCTAGCCAGCCTGGTCTACAGAGAGTGCTCCAGGACAGCCAAGGCTACCCAAAGAAATCCTGTCTCAAAAAACCAAGAAAAAAATTTTGAACCACCATCGTGAGGTTAGATGTATCAATTTTTTCTTTTATTCTTACATTGAAGTTTTCTGAGAGAATAACCCAAATGTAAAAAAAACATGTAGAGAAAGTTTGAAATAGTGAAGAAGAAAAACCTATGTCTTTCAAAGAACAAAGACTATCATAACCAGAGTGAGACTGTGATAGACAGTTGTGGTCATTTACCTATAATCCCAACTACTGCAGGTCTGGAACAGCAGGTTTGCTTGACCTAAGATTTTAAGGCTAGTCTCCAAAAATGTGTCAAATGGGGCAGTTACTTTAAAATCATATATTCAGAATTTCTATTTCTCTGATATAAAACTGGAGAGATAACTCAGAGGTTAAGAGCACTGAGTGCTCTTCCAGAGGTCCTGAGTTCAATTCCCAGCAACCACATGGTGGCTCACAACCATCTGTTATGAGATCTGGTGCCCTCTTCTGGTGTACAGATATACATGGAAGCAGAATGTTGTATACATAATGAATAAATGAAATCTTAAAAAAAAAAAGAAAAAAAAAACTTATTGTGCAACTCTAAGAACTGCAGCCTCAGGAGAGTGAAGTAGATCTCAGTTTACACACTAGCCTGTGACTCATAAAAGATCCCATCTCAAAACAGTAATTGTAAGAAAAGGGGGGGGGGGAGCTGGAGAGATGGCTCAGAGGTTAAGAGCACTGACTGTTCTTCCAGAAGTCCTTAGTTCATTTCCCAGCAACCACATGGTGGCTCACAACCATCTACAATGAGATCTGGTGCCTTCTTCTGGTGTGCAGATATACATGGAAGCAGAATGTTGTATACATAATAAATAAAATCTTTTTAAAAAATCCAAAAAAACAAACCATACAGCAAAAGGATATTATAAAATTTTAAGCTATATGTAGTTAAGCAATTAAAAAGATGAGACATCTGAACTGAAAGTACACTAAGATACCATTTTTCACTTATCAGATTGACAATCAAAAAAGTTGATGAAGCAGTGTTCCTGAGGCTGTAGGGAGAAGGGCCTCCAAACACATTACAGGAAGTGTTAGATTGTTGCTGTCAAATACACAGGCATAATGTAAAATATCATGTAGCAATGTAAAAGTGTGAGGGGGAGATATTTTTTAATTTAGTAGTACAGGATTGTGTTTCCAATTAAAAATTATGCAAAGGCCAAAGTTAATTTTTAAAAGAAAACTAACTGTTGTTAAACCATGATGGCAGAATTCAAATAGTAGAACATGGAGACAATACACACACACACACACACACACACACACACACACACACACA